ATAACGGACCAATGTCACGCAAAATCTTTTCTTTTGATGCATTTAATTAGTAACGCTTCGCTAATTGGATGATCAAAAACAACTTGGTCAAATAACAACTTCTTACATAAACTATAAGAATAAGGCTAAAAGTCCAACTTCATATGAGTCGAACCTAATGGCATCAAAGGAGACCAGCATTATTATCCATTGTTTACGCCTCATGTGAAGTTCGATGTTTGACCTGTAGTCTGACACCATACTTACGCGATTGACAGCTGTCATCCTATTATGATCTGTAAACTCGGTAACCATGCTATACTGACTCTATTTTACAGCACGCATGGCCAGTTTGCGGTAAAAAGGACAAAACATTTTCCAAGAGTATTTATTTTTTTGCTAAGATTTCACCTAAGAGTACATCTTAAACAAGTCTACAAGCCTTGGTTCCAAAAATCGTCAATAGCTAAATTATTGTTGTTACCTTGTTATTTAATCTCCATTCTATTTATACGAAAAAGAAATTATTTGTTCAAGTAATTTATTGTTGAGAGTTGAGTTCTGATTGAATTTTACAATCATTCACAAAGTCATTCCTAGGTACTTATCTAGTTTATCTCGACTTTTCGCTGACCACCATGCRGGGCTCCCTGTTTGCAGGTCAAAAACCACTACGCTGTCAAAAGGYGTGTGGGCACCCTTAAACTCCATTAGATAAAAGTCTTGGTTTTCCCACTTCAAATAATTTTGAATATCAAATTTCTTGAAAATTATATATCAGYTACAGATTCGCCAGTTGCGTTTTGTGTTTCGTTCTAACTACACCGATAGTGGAGCTTCACGGCAGCCATGTTGTAGGACAGGAACATGGTAGCCATGTTGTATGACAGGAACAATGTAAAGTTTTGCATGACAAGAGATTTCTTTTTACGAGGAGAAAGTTTCTGTTGTTTTGTTTAACATGTCTGTCATGAAACCACTCAAAATAGCGTTTTCGTATTGAACACTGAAACTATGAATGYATAGCGATTTTCGTATTAGTGGGGAAACCTACAGTACTCACTTATAGCCCGTACACGGTACWTTGAAWTGGCTTCCCATYGTCTTCCAGTAATTCATCCAATCAMAACGCGTAGTAAAGGTACGATACGGCGTGCCTACAATACCGCCGTATCATTTTCCACTCATACGAAAATTGCTCTATAAAATATGTCTACATTAGTTATGTTTGTCTGGCGGACTATAGAGTTGCAGTGGCAGAGTGTCAGCGATTTCGTTCCGTTTTTGCATATCATTAGACTAGCGTATATGGCTTGAAAAACGAATACATAGAGAWTGACTTTGCCTCAACATGTTTGTTTGTTTGTATTTTGCTATAACTGCCAGTTTTATAATTATCGAATTTCGAAATTCAATTAGATTATTTTGACAATTAATTACCAGTAGAATTGTCCATAGTACGCATGCATGAATCATTTCACTATATTTAACAAGTTGATTCTTTTGTAAAAGCTGTTCATTCAGACATCAGAGATTGTATACCCTGGGTGCCAGAGGCCCGTGTGGGGCTTAGGGGCGAGGGAGAGAGAGATGGGAGGGGACACGGACCTCTGGCACCCAGGGTAGAGATTGTAAAATAAACCGTTCAAAATTGTAGAAGCTTTTCCTATCTTTTTTCCTAGCTGTACATAGTCGAAACATGAATACGGAGCGTGAGAACTTCCAAGTCAAGACTCTAGTTTTGAATTCTCATTTGACAGGGTTAAACTAGTCTTGTAGTTCTAGTTTCGTATGGAATTGTTTAATGATTTATGGTTTATATAGCGCCCTTTCTATATGGATTTAGTATGATTTGAATATAGAGTTTCTCGAGCTGTGATTGGTCGAGCCACCGGCCATTCTGAAAAAATAATCACCGCTGGAGCTTCTTTTTTCCCATGAGGTTTTTCAAAGTTTTCCAGATCGGAAGTAATACTAAAACGTTTTTTTTTAATCCTGAATTTCGACTTTTCTCTGATATTCAAGCCTAAAATTATACTTAAACAATTATTCCCCTCAGGCTCAGTGGTGATCGTGATATTTACCTCGCGGCTCGGTAAACATTCCACTGATAATCACTTCGTCTTCGGCGAATAATTGTTAAATAATCAAAGGCGCTTTACATTGAGTTGTGAATGATAGATTTCTTTTATGCAATTTACAAGCATGAGAGATGGTTAGTATGAAGTGTAGGCACTGACGGTGGTCACTGCCAGGGTTTCTTTACGTCCTCTATTGGTTTGTAATGATGAGTGTGGAGAGACTAGCTGGACCGCCATTTAGAATGGTCATATGAGCCACTTGAAAGTCTAACCATTTGCAGATGTAATTACAAAGGCAGCAGTTTCTCCTCAGTTATTTCTAGACCCTGAGCGTTGATCCGCGGCCGGGACTCGAACCACGACCAATTGAGCCAACCGGTTGAATATTCACATGTAAGAGATGCTAGTCAGCAAGGGCGGATCCAGGGCTTTTTGAAGGGGGGGTCTCAGGGGTAAATTTTGTGGGCAAAGGAATCCCAGTTGCATTTTTACCACAGGAAGCCCATTTGACCTCAGGAATGACAGGGGCGTCGCGACCCCCCCGACCCTCCCCCTGTATCCGCCATTGGTCAGTCCAGGGCCCAGTTGTACGAACCATGGATAGCGCTATCCGGCAGATAAATCCTTATCCAGTGGATAAGTCGATGCTGCTATCCAATAAATTTATCTACTGGATAAGATTTATCTGTCGGATAGCGCTACCCAGGCTTCGTACAACCAGGCCCAGAACAATACTATTGAAATTGGTCGCCATATTTCCATATTTCCGTGTATAATGCACAAAATCCGTGCACAGGACCCGAGAACCCCTCATCCATGAGGATTAGAAGGTCTATGGTTCGGGTAGATTGGATATATTAATATATCATTAGTATAATCGAAGAATCGTGGCCTTGTAAATATTTCCCGATATTCACTTCTCCTTCGGCGAATAATTGTTAAACATTACTTCTGGGAAGTTGGCATTGCAGTGCATAGACTGCGAGCTAAGTCCCTCTATTTCCCTTGGTCCCTGCATGTCCAGCCCCCTCCCCCAGGGACTTTTGACTCAACCAATCTTCCCCGGCCAATCGACACGGACAGACGGACAGTGACCAAGGGAAATAGGGACTTAGCTCGCAGTCTATTCAATGCATTGAGGGACTGTTTTAGGGGACGAAATAGACGCCATCTTGGAAATATGTCCCCCAACAGTTGCACTGCAATGCCAAAACGTTATGTAATAGATCAAAAACGAGTGCGAGTGTTTGATCAGGGCATCCAAACACCGAGAGCAAACACGACGCGATTATTTCTTTTTATTGCATGGAACGCTATTTTTTCTGACTCTGATTTATAAAGTATATTTTAGAA